ATTATCCAACTGTTACTGGGTAGGGGGCAGTACCCAAGGTGTAGGGTTCAAGGTTTAGAGCTTAGGGTTCACGATTAGCTAGAGCTGGAAGCTAAAAAAAACACCTTGCTTCATATTGGATATTTACGACGTACGTACGGCCGTAGATGAGAATCTCCATGCACACGCGCGTGCAAATTTCAAAGACAACTAATGAAGATACTGTCAACGGCAGTGTGGACGCCCTCGAGAAACGTGCCGTACGACAGGAGAGAATATGCAAAGGACTCTGTAGAACTTGGATATTCCCAGTGCGGCGCGCTCGTGAGACGCCTGTTGCCTACACGGGACGCCTGAGGTCAAGGACCTAGTAGCAAGGCTTCTTATATCACCAAACGTGTTTGGTATCACCCTCCCAGAATCCCTCTGTTTAACAATGTTGTCAGTGTTGTTTCCTTTCGCTTGCCACCTGCCCGCGTCCTCTATTTGCCAGATTTAGACTTGCTTCTAATACTGAACACGCCCGTTTCCGGAGCCTCCAGAAACCTCCCGACAGCATTCAGGCCAGCTAAGATTGAGGAGGGTTCTGGATTAGGCGTCTTGAACTGATCAGATTTTTGAATGGGCTCGCTAGGCGCTTCCAGGGGCCTCCAGGCCTCTCCAAGACCTCCATGAACCCTCCACATAAGGCGCAGCCAGGCCTCCACATACCTCGCTCCCAATTGCAGGCTCAGAGGCCTCCAGGCCCCCATACACTCAAAACCCAAAAGCCAAAACATGCAGCCCAAACCCCAAAATCTAGAATCCAAAGCCCAAAGTCCTGCAAATCAAAAAACCTAGCCTTTGACGACAAGAACCCTAAATCCTAAACCTAAACCCTAAACCCTCAACCCTAAACCCCAAAGCGCCAAACGGCTTGATGGTACAGTTTTCCTTTGCTTCTCAAGTTGACTTGAAGGCTTGTTTTTTCTTTCGGGATATAATCCCCCTTAAGTAGGTAGAATATAGGGTATATGGGGAACTTATTGTAATGCACCCAAAGCCATGTTCTATCTACTTAACGGGGACGATA